AAACACTAGCAGGAAGTTAACCCGACTTGTGCCCGTTGGGTCTTCTTCACAAATGTCATGTTGATGGCAGACTGGAGAGAGGATGATGCCACACAGTAGTCTCTTACATGGGATGGAACAGAGCACCGTCCTCCACATGCACACACCACACACTTACACATGTACACCGGCTTCTATGAGTAGAACTTGCTGTTGCTGACTCTTTTCTCTCGCAACCTGGAATGAAACCGATCTCAGCATCACCAGCGGGGCAGATGATACAGGCTCTGTGCAGAACCCTGGAACACTTGGGGTCATTTATGCCTGGATGGCTTGGGGATGGGAGTTGGAAGGGCCACTCTGAGCTCCTGTCAAGACCCTGAAATTCACCCGGGTGTGGTGGCACAGGCCTGCAATCCTAGCCCTCGGGAGGCTGAGGCAGGAGGATCATTGCAGTTTGAGGCCAGCCTGGGCTACAAAGTGAGCTCAAGGCCAGAGTGAACCACATAGTGAGACCCTGTCTCAAAAAAAACAAGAACAAGAACAAAAAAAATCAGTGTTCATTGGAGCTCTGGTATAGCAGTGGTAGAACAGTTGCCTAGCATGCATGAGGACCTGGGTTCTATCTCTAGCTTAAGAACAGCAAAATGGCCATCTATTTTCACTGTTACATTGAAAAGTCCTTGTAAGATAGAAGATGGTTCTACTTAGGGAGTAGGAGGTGCTCAAGGTGTTACTTTAAGTTCATTTAGGGCAAAGAAAACCAGAATCAAAGGTACCAAAGAAAGCAAGGGTGGGTAGAGGACTTTCCTGAAGTTTTGCCCCATGAGCAGCAGCACGTGATGGAGGCCAACCTACCTTCGGTTGCACTTCTCCTGGTACAGCTGCAGCTGGTTCTCATTGACGTTGAACTCTTTGACAAGGGCGTCCCGGTTGGCAATGCGCAAGTTCTGCTGTGTGTCGTAGAGAAATAACTGGTTGTTCAGCTCTTCTTGCCTCCTTCGCAGCTGCCGACAGGAGGAGTAGAGTTCCTCCTCACTCTCCTGGAGAATAGGGGAGAGAATCATCTTGTGAGTCACCCACGGGACATGGTTTCCCACCTGTGTCCAAAGGGAGCAGAGGGCAGAGGTTTAGTAGTGGAGGTTATCCTAGGAAAGCCACGGCTATTTTAACTCAAGGTAAAACTCAAATATTACATTGGAAACTGGCCATTTATACAGTGCTTGGTCTCCCCATGAGCTTTATCAGGAAGCATTGAAACAATCCAGTGCATGTTTTCCAATCCAGTCTAGTTTTTCCTTCGTCTGAATCACCTTCTCTTTTTTATCTAAATACAAAAGTGACCAAGAATCTCTGTGCTTAAAGGGTGGTGCAGGACAATCTGAGGACAGGCAGGAAGCAGGTAATTTAAGACCTTGTGAGGGCCTTAAAAAGCAAAGTCACAGCTGCGACATGGACAAACCTGAAAAACACTGTGCTAAATGAAAGAATTGTTTTTAAAGATCACAAACTATGCAATGCCATTAATATGAAATGCCCAAAACAGGGAGATTCATAGAGACAGAAAGATTAACAGTTGACATGGGACAAGCAGGGAATGACAATGACTTAAGTACAAGGTTTCTTTCCAAGGTGATGAAAATGCTTAAAATTGAGTGTGGCGATGCTGTACAAGTCTGTCTGGGTAAGCTAAGCCCTGTTGGGGCACTTTAGTGGGGTGATTGTGTGGAATATGAATTGTATCTCGGTGTTTGTCCCCTACCCCAAAATAAGGCAGGTATCACAGATTACACCCACAAGGATGGCCATGTGACATTTAGCCCTTAATGATGCCTTTTCCCCACCGTCACCACCTCCAGACATGTCCCCAGCCAGTCTGGTACGAAGCATCCACAGGACTTTGATTGGCGCTCTTGGTATAAATTGCCTTGGGATGAGCTAGAGGAGTGGCTGGATGCATCCAGTTCCTAGTGATCCTATTATGGCCCTTCTCTGTAATGTAGAGAGTTGGAAATGAGGCCGGAAGAGAGGGAGAGAACCATTGAGCGAGAGCACCAAAGTGCAGCCATGACTGACACAAAATTTACCCTCTAGTGTGCTTGGAGTAGGGTGGAGCTCTACAAGGACAAGGGGTTTGGGTTTCATTGTGGAGGGAGGATGAGGATACCTTCCATCGTATGGTTTCAAAAGACAGCTGACCTCTGTGTAAAGGGAGCTGCGTGGGAAGTCAGTCTGTCCTCCGCACCTGCCCTGTCGATGGACTAAGTCAAGCAAGAGAATCCAGGGCTTCAGAATTTGTCCTGATGCACACAGATGGACTGGTCTTGTCACTTTTTTTTACAAAAACAAGAACTTCATACATAACCTTGCTTGGCAACCGTGCTTTGTTTTTCTACCTTAACAACCTGACAACCTCATGGCAACCAACATGGATGCCCTCCTCAAGGTCACAGCTAGAACTGAGACTTGAGCTAGAGGGGAGAGGTGATGGTCATTCCTGATTCGAAGTAAATAGCTGTGGTAGTACCACCCAGGTCAAGAAAAAAAGCACTGCCAATTCTACACACCCTCCTGCTGCCTCCCTCCCCACCTTTTTTTTCTTTTCTTTTTTTTTGTCTTTTTGAGACAGGGTCTTGCTATGCAGTTCAGGCTGGCCTTGAGTCACTTTGTAGCCCAGGCTTGTCTCGAACTTGAAAGAATCCTCCTGCCGCAGCCTCCCAAGTGCTGGGATTACAGGTGTCACCACCACACCTGGCCACCTCACCTCTTAGAATTTGTGATAACCATTTCTTGGCATCCTTTGGAGTCTGTTTGCACATTGAAAAAAATAAGATTTTTATTTTCCAAGTGTCTAATTAGAAAACATAGGAAACCTTTAGCATGAAATTTTACCTAAGCCAGCTGTGCTGGTGGTATAATTCTAGCTATTTGGGAAGACTGCAAGTTTGAGGCCAGCCTGGGCAACAAGGTGAGGCTTATCTAAAAAAACAAAAAGTTTTATTTGGCCTTTTACCAGCTCTTTATTTAGCCTTTGGCATGATTTTTGCATCATTCTCTACCTTTAGTTTTTTCTGTTTCGTGATAGAAAAACATTTTTAAAAATTCTACCAGCAACACTTTCGTGTTTCCTGTTGAGATTTTAAGTTCATCAAACAAATTGCAGTATTTAGAGTTCTTAGATATCTCACATCACCAGATTTCCATATAAACATCTTGCAGAACCATAGAACAATGATCAGAATTAAGAAACTTAACACTGGTGCATCACTGAGCTACAGATTTATTGAAGTTTCACCATTTTTCCCCACCAGTGTCTTTTTTCTGTTCCAAATACAGTCTAGGATCCCACCCTGCATTTAGCTGTTACACTTCCTTGTGGTCCTCTGAGTTTTCCTTAATCTTCCTATATCTTTTATGACCTTGACACTCCTTAGCCTTTGGTTATTTTGTACAGTGTCCCTCAATTCAAGTTGGCCTGGTATTTCTTTTTCTATTTGAGGTTACTCAGTCCTGGCAAGAATATCAGAGAAGGGATGTGCCCTTCTTGCTGTGTTAAATCAGGAGGTCCGTGATATGAATCTATCTTACTGCTTGTGGTGTTGATGTTGATCATTTGGTTAAGATGATGTCTGCTGGGTTTATCCAGTGTAAAGCTTCTGTTTTTCTCTAACGCATTTCTTGGAGGAAGCTACTTTTAAGGTAATGCAGATATCCCATTGTTCTGGCTTTCAGTGATTTGAGCATCCATGAGTAGATCTGACCTCCAGCAGGTCATGCCCTCCCGCTTTCCTCCTATATTAATCAAAATTCTTCTGTAAGGAAGAGCTATCTCTTCTATTTGTGGACAGATATATATTTTATCCCATGGGTTAAAATTCAATATAATCATTATTGATTTTGTTACTCAAATTGCTTCTGGTTGGCTCCTCTATCTATGTGATGGGCCCCATCTTTTCTTCAGCACTTCTTTATTGATTGGAATTTTAAGATCTCTGGACTCATTTTATATCTTACCGTTCAGATCTGGTTTTAATTACTTGCCTAAAGAGTGCTGATTTCTTTTACTGGAGAATGACATTTAGAAACCAGTGTCTGGGTGTTTCTGTATACTCACTGCTCCTAGGGGTCACTGGAACTAGTCTCTTAACAGACAGCAAAGATACTCATCTACCTCTTTGTTTCTCTCTCAGTGTACATCTAATTGTGAGTTTATACTGATACCTCCAATTCCAGTCAGATGTTAATTTGGGAAGGGTAGTGTAAATTTTTACTGATTCAGGTGTTGATTTGCCTTTCAACAAGATTTTATGCTTTGCTTTCCATAAATCGTATACCTTTCTTATTTAAATTGCTCCTAAATGTGTTATCTTTCTTGCCAGTATCGAGTGGAATTTTCCATTTGTCCTTTCATCCCACCCCACATTTCCATGTGTCATTTGTAGAAGACAGAACTGGTTAGAGTATATAAATATGAAATAAACATCAATCTTAATTTTTCAAAATAGATAATCATAATTTGCGAATAAAGATACATGCATTTTCCCTCACAATTGATGGTGGGTATTTGGTTACATTTGAGGGATCTAATGATTAATGCTTTTCCTCCACTTAATTTGTTATCTGTCCCAGTGCTAAACTATCCTTGCATTCCTAGAATGAACTATTAATTGTATTATATCATGCTTCTGTAAGTAGCTGAAAATGATTGCTATTTTTTCCTTCAGCTGATCATCTGTGTCCATAAATGACATTGAACTGTGGTTGCATGGAGTGGGTGGAGAGCTAGGATTTATATCTTTTTTTGTTTTGTTTTGTTTTCTGGTACCGGGAATGGGACTATGACCTCGCGCTTGCCAGGCAGGCGCTGTGCCGCTGAACTAAATCCCCAGCTCCTAGGATTTGTATCTGTATGTGCTTTTGATATGAAAATTACATGGCTTCAAGACAGTCACAGAATCTCCATTTTCCTACTGACGTCAATGGAGTAAAATCAGAATTATATTGTTGAAATTCCAATAGAACTCAGCTAAAAAAGCATCTTGATGTGATACTTGTTTTATCTAGTGAGGGTTTTATCACCCTTCCAGGGATTTCTGTAGGATTTGTCTCTGACTTTTATACCTTTTCTTCGAAGAATTGGGCCCCACTTACATGCTTTAATCTCCTTTCCAGTATTTACGCTTGGGTGCTTTTGCTTGAGTGTTCTTGTATTTAAGTAGGCAAAGGGTTGTTTGATGGGTCTTTTTTATTAACCAGGATTTTCTAAAAGTAATTCTTGTTCTATGTTTCATTCAATTGAGTTTTACTGCTATTTAGTTTCTCTTACTACTGATGTTTCAAAAGTTGTTATAGGGAATACTTAGTGTGTGAGTGTTTAGCATATAGATTCTTGCAGGTCTTAAGGCAAGCACTTTTCTAAATGCAGGCAGACCTGAGAGAGATTGTAGATTTGATTCCAGACCATTATAATGGAGGAGGCATCATGAAGTTTTTAGTTTCCCAGTGTATGAAAGTTATATTTACAATATACTCTAGTTTCTTTGGTATGCAATAGCATTATGTCCAAAATCAATGTACATATCTTAATTAAAAATATTTTATTGCTGAAAAGTGCTAACAATCCGTTGAGCCTTCAGCAAACCATAATCATGCTGGTAGCAGAAGTCTTGATGGCTGCTGAGTGACGAGGGTGGTGGCTGCTGAAGGTTGGGTTGACTGTGGCAATTTCTTGAAAACAGAGCAGTGACGTTTACTACACGGACTGAACCTTCTCTGCAGCATGTGCTGTTGTTTGAAAACATTTTATCCCCAGCAGAATTTATCTCCAAGTTGGACTCTTCCCTGTCAAACCCCAGCACTGCTTTATCAAGTTTATATAATATCCTCATCATTTGTTGTGATTTCAACAATGTGCACAGCACATTCGCCAGAAGTAGATTCCATCTCAAGAAACTACAGCCTTTGCTTATCTGTGAACACAACTCTCGTCGTCCTAGTCTGATTATGAGAGTACATTAGGTCAGTCACCTGCTCAGGCTCCACTTCTATTGCTAGTTCTCTGGCTATTTCCTCTACTCCCCTCAAAATCACTAATGAGGTCTGAAATCAGCTTCTTCCCAGTTCCTGTTAATGCTATTTTCACTCCTCCCATGAATCACAAATGTTCTTAATGGCATTTGAGCCAGTGAATCCTATGCAGAAGGTTTGTAATGTACCTAGATCAGTCAGAAAAATCACTACGGCAGCTGTAGCCTTACCAAATCTATTTCATAAAGATTAGACTTAAAGGTTCAAGTTACTTCTTGATCCATGGGCCACAGAATGGATGTTGCATTAGCAGGCGTGAAAACTACATTCATCTTACTGTACATCTCTGCTAGAGCCCCTTGGTGACCAGGTGCATTGTCACTGAGCAGTAAGTTTGAAAGGGATCTTTATTCTGAGAAATAAGTCTCATGTGTGGACTTGAAATTTTCCAAGTAAACCATGTTGTAAATAGATGTGCTGTCCTCTAGACCTTCTTCTTCCATTTATAGAGCACAGGCATGGTAGATTTCAGATAATCCTCCAGCGCCCTAGGATTTTCAGGATGGTAAATGAACAGTGGCTTCAATAAAGTCACCCGCTACATTAGCCCCTAACAAGAGGTAGCCTGGCATTTGGAGCTGGGCCCTGACTTCCCTTTCCTGGCGTGAGAGCCCAAGTGGGCATCTTCTTCTAGGGCAAGGTGTTTCACCAACACTTGGAATGTTGTTGAACATAGCCGCCCTCGGGAGTGACCTGAGCTCTGTCCTCTGGGTAACTGGCTGCAGCGTCTCTGTCAGCACTTGCTGCTTTTCCTTGCTGTCTTACTTGATGGAGATGGCTTCTTCCCTTAAACCTCCTGAGCCAGCTTCCGGCAGCTTCACACACTTCCTCTGTGTCTTCCTCACCTCTCTCAGTCTTACAGCATTATAGAGTCAGGTCCTTGCTCCAGATGAGGCCTTGGCGTAGGGTCTGATCCATCCAGCCCACTGGATCTGTCCCCAAACCAGCAATAAGGCTGTTTCCACTTCCTTGTCTTTTGGTGTTCCCTAGAGGAGCACTTTCAGTTTCCTGCCAAACGTTTCCTGTGTATCTGCAGCATGACTGGTATAAGAGGCTTGGCTTTCAGTCAGATGCAGCTCTCCACGTGCCTTCCTCACAAAGTTGAATCTCTTCTAATTCTGTCTTTTGCCAGAGAATGTGACTTGTGTCACTGGAACACTTAGAGGCCACTGTACGGTCATTACTTGTGTCTCAGGGAATAGAAGGGCCAAGGAAAAGCAGGGGACAAGGGGTCGGTGAGTGCGGCCCTCAGAACACACACAGTGCTCACCAGTCAAGCTTGCCATCTTCCATGGGTGTGGTCTGTGGCACTGAAACAATTACAGTAATAAGAGGAAAGCTCACAGATCATCCTGACAGGCATAGCAGTAATGGAAATGTTTGAAATGTGACACAGAGACACAGTGAGGACAAGGTTGGGAGAAAGGGCACCAGACACCTGCTCAACATAAGGTTGCCTCAAACCTTGCCTGTGTTAAGATCAAGTTGTATCTGTGAAGTTCAACAGAAATGAAGTCTGTCTGTACAGTTACAGCATAAGTGATTTCCTACTCCTGGGTAATGTACTTGTGTAAGAAGTTCTTATGTAGAAAATTCTTAGTTTTGATATAGTGTTGTGTTTGTTTCTGGATGTCCACTCAAAGCCTCATTCGGTTGTAGAGCTTTTTCAGAGGTCTGAATCTAGACTGTGTGATGTTGGGATCAAGGGTGAGTGATTAGTAAATCACTGCACTGATTGTTTTGGCATAGTTCCTGCTAGGATCAAGGATATGAGTAGTGCACCCACCCTAGGATGGCTAGCCTGCTTATAATATAAAGGACAGAAAGAGTCCTGTCTTCTTCCCTTCTCTTGTTGCTTTTGCTATCATTCGGGGTCCATGAACGGTTCTCTTCTGTGATGGCCCTCAGCCAAGCCACCGTGCCTTGGAGTCAGCCAATTATGGACTGAAACCTCCACAAACTGTGCGCTACAGTGCACCATTTCTCCTTTAACTTTGGGTGTCAGGTATTTTGTCTCAGCATGAGAGAAAAGTAACTTAAGACAGTAGAATATGTTTTTATCTTTCAAATTTTATCAGGTTACAGCCATATAATAATTTATGTTTTTTGTAAGCTAGGCATGGTGGCCCATACTTGTAAACCCAGCACTCAGGAGGCTGAGGCAGAAGGATCACAGCAAATTCGAGGCCAGCCTGAACTACATCATGAATTCAGGGCCAGCCTGAACTACAAAGTGGGACCCTGTCTTGAGCAGAACACAGGAAGGAAGGGAGGGAGGGGTGAAGCAAGGAAGGAAGGAAGGGACAAAGGAAGGAAGGAATGAAAGAAGGAAGTGGCCAGCATAGTGAGCTTCCCTCTCCAGGAAATCAAAGCTGAATAAACACAATTTCCTTCCAAGTACATTAATTTTCTCTGCTGCCAGTAATATTCAGTCACTTAAATTATCGATAACGGTTCTTAGTTGTTTCCGACAGCTTTGCAGAACAGCATCTCAACACACGCTGTCCTATCGCCCTCAGAAACCGTTCCCATCACTTGGGTTTTCTGTGAACTGTCTGCAGATGGGCTTCGTGTGCACAGAGGGGCAGCACTGGTTCCCTGCCAGGACACAGAGGGATGAATCCCAGATCCTGTGGCAGGCATCCCATCTCTGCTGTGCATTTCCTCGTGTGAAGGTTTTCAGCTGTATTCTGGAAGGTGCCAAACAAGCAAAGCACTGCT